AAAAAAAGAAAAAAAAAAAAAAAAAAAAAAAAAAAAAAGGCAAAAAATAAGAGGAAAAAAAAAAAAAAAAAAAAAAAAAAAAAAACACGCTGGCTTTGGAGGGGTCAAAGCTTAGCAAAACACTCCTAAAAAGGGTTCGGAGATGGGACTAATTAATCACAAAGCAATTATTACTGCACCCAGTGCTCAGGCCTGTTGGGAACACTGGATGTAATCCATCCGCCCTGTCTGTCCTCCTCCCTTCCACACTGCCGCTGACAATCAGCCTGTTTATTTATCCTGTAGGCCCGCTTACAACTGGAGAGAACTCACACACACACAGCGACAAAACATGGTCAGTCACTCACACACACATACAGGCACTGTCCTAGTAGTACACACACATGTGGAAATGATTGTGGTGTGCAAGTGTGTGTGCAGGGTAGAGAATGAGACTCTGTGGGAAGCAGAGTTTACACACCTGGATATTTGCCTGTCCATAAGATTATTATAGCCAATTAGAGCCCAGAGAGTGTGTGTGTGTGTGTGTGTGTGTGTGTGTGTGTGTGTGTGTGTGTGTGTGTGTGTGTGCGAGCGAGAGAGAGAGAGATCATCAGCATGTTTGTTAGCCAGGATTAAGACATTGTTTAGATGTGAGCAGATGTGCAAATGTATAAAATCTGACTTTGTGCAGAAGTGGCATATTTGTTGATGAGTGAACGTGTGTGTGCTCATTCCCAGTGTTCTCATCAGGCCTGCTGCCAAACGTTCTCTACTCCCCATTACAGTTTTGGCAAATTTGTTGTTGCCCAGCTCATTTAATCACAATAAACACAGACCCCCCCCAGACACATACATAGGGTTAGCCAACATGACCACCAACACCCCCATTCATCCAACATCAACCTTCACCAACTTAGTAGTTAAAACACACTTGTTTTATCAGCTTCAATACTCCATTAACCAGGGCTGTATAGTGCCTATAATTTTTCTATACTAGTGCCAAAATGATACCAAAGTTGTGCTACTTACTTTTTTGTTACCTTACAGTGAACATTTTCTTCAAGAAGCCAAACTTCTGAAGTTGTAAATGTAAAAACAAGCCTCTGTACAAGAGCTTTGCTTAAACAATATGCAGTGTAACATTGGCAAGTTCATGTGCTGAATCAGAAACTATCAATAATTGTGAATCAGTAAACAAGACTATGCGATAACTGACAGCATCCTACACATATCCCTTACTGTAGCCAAAAAAGGTTTGACATCATCACCCATATTTAAAGATGCACCAGACTGCAATCTTCTTGGCTCTTTCCAAATTTTTTTTTTTTTTTTTTTTTTTTTAAGTCTGACCTGCTGATTTCAATTTTCTAAGAACTGTAGTTGATAGCATGCACAAATATTTTTGTAACTTCTCTTTAATGAAAAATTAAATTGGAACATTTTCCATCTTTCTCTCAGAAATGAAGTGCAATATTTGTACTTCTCCAAATACAAACAGGTGCAACAGGTAACGGAAAAGGGAGAATTCTTTTACATCAGTCCTACTGAGCACACGGCTCTTTCTGAATTGTGTGTAGTTTACATTTTGTGTGTCTTACCATGGGTTGGATTAGTGTTGTCACGATACCAACATTTTGGTACCGGTACCGGTACCAAAATGTATTTCGATACTTTCGATACTTTCGATACTTTCGAAAAAATGTCATTACTGACTTTATTTTAATAGAAAATCTTAGAATAACATCAAAATAAAATTCAAAATACTAGGTTTTTCTTATTGCACTAAAAAAAATTTTTTTAGAACAGTCAGTGTGAGTAAATAAAAAGTATGAAGTTAGAAGTTCTAACTTAGAAAAAAATATTTTCATTACATATAGCCTGTCTTAAGTAGGACCAATGTTTTTAAATGGTATGTTACCAGTCTTTATAACATATTAAATATTGCTAAATATGTATGTAAAACACTGAACGACTGTGCTGTAACCACATTTAACGTTTTGAAAAAACACATTTTTT